TTTTGTCGGAAATGAGATATCCATTAGAATCGATTGTAAACTACCGGCATTTTACACTGTACACTAAAAGTTACATGTTTTGTTCAGAATATATCGTGAAAATATCAAAACTAGGTTGTCCCATCCATTAGAGCATAAGGAGGAATAAATTTTAACTGGTGTTATTCTAGAGTTTCTGTTTTTCTAGCTGGAACTGATATGCTGGGCAATACGATTATCGGTAATTAAAATGATTTTCATTCTCCATAATCGAATCTAAGTTTGATCTAAGTTTGAAGTCTATATTGCATATGTTTTCATCGGTTAATCTTAAAAACATATTTAAAATCTGTTAGTTTTTGTTTCGAACGAGCAAAGTTCTAAAAAAACGATTTCTTTTGATTGCATGATCGGGACAATATGGCTTCAGACCTGTTTTATAGCCAATGCATGGGTAAATGACTTCAAATAAGTTAATTGTAGTCTACACACAAAAAATAATCGTTACTAAAATTAAAAATACCATGGGTAGAATTAAAAGTTTTCGTTGGTTCTGTTTGGTAGAAAGTAGAAAGCATTCATCATAAAAATGTGTAAACTGTCAAATCAAAAGTTTAAGTCTTCGTTAAATTCAAAAGTTTAAGCTTTTGAATCAAATTGTAGAACTGTCAAGAGGAAAACCAATGTTTTTAAAATGAAGTACGAACTGTTTCAGTTCAAAAGGAGTCGTTTTTATCATGACAATATATGTTTTTATCTCAAATTTGAAATATTATCAGATTGATAGTTTTCAAGATATAAAAAAGTACCCAAACTCATAATTGAATGATTTTTTAAAAATAATATTTATTCATATATTTTCGAGTATATTTTATATAAAAAACAAAAAAAAACAATACATAGTTAAAATGACCATTGCAAATTTTGTCCTAGTCCGAGGAATCAAAGGAAGGTATTCGGTCCAACCTCGGGTCGACGGCAATTTCGGAACTTTCCTCTTGCTTCCATCGACGATAACAAAAGGAAAGCGGTTATGACGACGAGTGCTTTGGGAAACGTTCCCTTGACAAGGCAATTCCAATACCACTCCATGGAAACGGCATTCATTACGGGGTCTTCCTGCTGGAGCTACTTTATTCTCCATGAGCTGACGATATAGAATCTACAAAAACAAAAATACAGCCTTTGAAATACAACCATTGCATACCACAAAAGTGGGACACTCACCATAGAAATATCCAGCAGAATGGTCAAGACAGAAAATCCTTGTCATCAGCACCGGTAAAGGAACGCCACCCACCACGGGAATTGACCACCACCCGAACGACCCGATCACGTACCTACGATGTAAAAACAAACTTAATCGATCCCTCGTTCGATCCTAAGAAAAACGAATTTCCAACTCACCTATCATTTCCTGTTGCAGTGGCAGAATCACCATCGATTGCCACTTATCGTCACTGGAGGCAGCTTTCGAACACCGATTCCACCGTAAACTGCTTTTTTTTACCTCCATCTCGTCCACTCATATTCAATTTTGGCGCCAAATGAAGTGGGGTTCAGAGATCTGTTCAGTGCTGCCAAAAACTTTACTATGAAGAGGTATTTTTGACAGCTGAACAACTTTAATATAAACATAATGCACTTTTAAAATAACAAGTCAGAAGTGAAAGAAAAACTTTCAAACCAAAGATATAACTTTCATTTTGAAAAATTTTCCAGTTAAAATCCTACGAAATTTGGGAAACTTTCATTTTGAAAATGCATTATTTTTATAGCAACAATTTTTGTTTTTTGTGTGTAGTCGAACCTATAATTACAGATACAAAATCGAGTTACCGAAAACCGATTCAACCGAAAATCGAGCTCGACCTGAACTGATTTTCTGATTTTCTTTAATTTTCGCCGATTTTTGTAATTTTCAGTGATTTTTTTATTTCCTGAAATTTTCTGATCCTATGATTTTCTGATTTTGTGATTTTTATCGTCTAATTTTCTTACTATCAGATTAAACTCCTTTTCAGAAATTTTCTGATTTGTAATTTATTTTCTTGTATTTCCTATACCTTATTACTACAGACAAACAGACATATCACTCGCAAGTTCTTCATCGAACAAGCATTTAACGGTCAATTTAAAAGTATCGTAGTTGGTAGTAAAATTATCAAAAATCCAAGAAAATCAGTTTCTTCCTTAGATATTTGTCAAAATACATGCAAAAAAATTTTTTCTATCCCATCATGAAAAAAAAATTGGACTCTCAGAAAAACCGAAAAGTTGATGTTTTGTGGTTTTTTGAGTCCAACTTTATGCCATAATGACTTATAAAACATGTTTTTGCACGTGAATTTTCTTTAAAAAATTAGAAAAAATGTGATTTTTTTAGATTTTTGATACTTTTTTTCAATATTTTTAGAAAAATCAAACCGTAATTTTTTTTTCGGAGCGGTCTGCTTCCCCTTAAGTCGGTTATTTGAAAATTAGCATCTTCAACTATTTAAAATCGTTAAAGGTCATCAATCGAGTTAGATTGAATTTACTTTTATGCAGATTTTCTGATTTTCTGTTTCACTGCGATTGTCTCATTTTCTGATTATCTTTGTAATTTTCTATGATTATCTGATTTACTATTATTTCCAGTGATTTTCTGATTTTCCGAAGTGTTTAATGATTTTCAAACATTCTGTGATTCTGATGTTCTGTGATGTTTTGATTTACCGTTTATCCGATATGGGTTATTCCAGATCAAGTGGGTACACCACTTGTGGTCGATGTCACCGATTTGAGCCAAACTTGGCCAAAACGCTTATTTTGGCATTCTGAACAAACGCCTTTTTTAATTTTACTCTAAAGTGCCTAGACTCTTCTGGGCTACAACCCTGGATTTTCGGTATTTTTAAAAATTTAATTTTTCATAAGAGATTACTCCACAACTAAATAAGCTATTCGTGATCTTAGAACGTCAATCTGAAGGTTTTTAATGTAGATTCTTATAGGTTTACCCATATTTGTTATTATACTGACTATAATGCCATATCAGTCCCATATAAAAAAGAAGTAGGTATAGAGAAAATGGCAGTGGAAGATACGAAGTGTAATTTCCATGTAAATATTTGATAAATAATAGTAAATTAATTGATAATTTTTTCAGGTTAAAATCTGTTGCAATGAAACTTGCATGTTTTGTTATATCAGAGAAAAATATGGCAATTCAAAAAGCAGACCTTTAACTTGAACTATGGGCGATTGAATTTCAGGATGGGACTGAAATGCGATTATTTTGCTTGATGGGACAAACTGATCTGATGTTGTTTTCACATTTTTCATGATCAAAGTCCTTAGTTTTATTTCATAATATGAAAGTAGATGCCAATTGATACTGGATAGCGTTGTTATCTCAAAATTGACGAAAATCCATATGGGACTGTTATGCGATTATAGGCAGTACAACTAACAGGCAAGGTTGCAAAGACTCATTTCAGCTAAAATAATGTTTTTCGGAATAATAAAACCAAAAGATGGTATGATGGCATGTTTTACTTGTAACTTACAAGAAGAGGTTACAAAGTATGCGTTGGAAACATAAAACCTGTAAATTTTGCTTTCTATGAGTCACAATCAGCGATTTGCTGATCGCTGAGTGAGTGAGTGAGTGGCATCTAATTATTTCATAATTTAGAAAAACATTGTTTTAGCTGAAATGAGTCTTTGCAACCTTGCTAACAGGCTGATTACCAACAGGTATCCAAATAATCAAAAAATGGCCTATTTTCACCATGAGCGGGATTTTTTATTTCTTAACATTTTAGGCTCAAATTTTCACCAGACTTTGGAAAACTCTTCTACTTGATGTGTTTTCAAGGGCAACAAATAGTTTTTGAGATATGACCAGATGAGTTAATGGTAGTTTTGAGCTTTTCTGGTGGAAAATCAATTCTATTTAATATTTTTTTTTTTCTATTCGTAGCAGAAGAACCATGACAGTAACGTTTATGAATGAAAAGTGTGTTTTCAACAAATGAAAAATAAAGGTTCAACGTTCAGTTACTCGTGAGATTGTCTGGGTACACCTATGTGAATACTTTAAATTGACGTTCTAAGATCACGAATAGCTTATTTGGTTGTGGAGTAATCTCTTCGGACAGTTGAAATTTTTAAAAATCTCGAAAATCCAGGGTCGTAGCCCGGAAGGATCTAGGCACTTAGAGTAAAATAAAAAAGGCGTTTGTTCAGAATGCCAAAATAAGCGTTTTGGCCAAGTACTCACTTGAGCTGCAATGACCCATATTCCGATTTTCAGTTGTTTTTTTTTCAAAATTCCTTTTATTCTCTTTTTTATTTTGTTTCGAATTCATGATTGATTTATTTTTTTGTGATTATATGTAATTTTCAGATATTCTTATTTTCGACATTCAGACATAATAATTCTTTTAGATTCGGATTTTCAAAACTTGTTGTTCCGAATTTCTGTTGCTCTGTTTTTCTGACTTTATGATTTTCAGTGATTTTCTTATTTTAAATCCTTGTGATGGAAGCTTTCAGATTTTCTGTGATTTAAAAATATTCCATAGTATGCCTTACAATAATTTATTGCAATAAAACATTACCGATAATCGAGCCTAAAATGAAAGATACAGAATCAGGTTACCGATAACCGATTCAATCGAAAATCGAGAAGGACCAGTACTGATTTAAAAAAAAAAATCCTAAATTTTCTGTAATTTTTGTAATTATTAGCAAAATGTAAATTTTCTGATTTCTTGAAACATTCTGATTGGCTTATTGTTTAATTTTTTTTTATCGTCTTATTTTCTTATTATCAGATTTAACACATTTTCAGACATTTTCTAAATTCTAATTTTCCCATTTTTTTTTATTTTCTCTTTGATCGATTTTTTGATTTTCTGTTTCAGTGTGACAGTTTCCGACCATAACCGAATGTTTTCCAAATTTAAGCATGTTTAAGCTCAAAATATAATCCACTAAACAACACGTTTCTCCCTTTTCTCCCAAACTTACAGATACAGCCCGGGCCTCACAATCAGCAACATCAAACAAGTGATCAATGAAACGATAGAAACCAATATTCGTAAGTTTCCCACTGTTGCCTATAAACCTCAAAATAACCCAGTAAAAACTTCACAGTAAGAAAGCCTTCACCAACTCGCCTGCGGGAACTGATCCGCCAGATCCGAGCAGCCCGAACGGCCGCCGAGGAGCGTGCCGTGGTCAACACAGAATGTGCCTACATCCGAAGTACCTTCCGCGAGGCGGACTGCATTTGGAAGTAAGTTCACTACCATCCCTAGATTAATCCCCCCCCCCCCCTCCCCCACGGTTGCCTAGCGAAACCGCACTTTAGTGTTAGCTTGATGGACTTATCGGTGTTAAAATAAATCAATCCAGATGTCGCAACATGGCCAAATTGCTCTACATTCACATGCTAGGCTATCCGGCCCACTTTGGACAGATGGAAACCCTAAAGCTGGCGACCAGCTCGAAGTTCACCGACAAACGGATAGGCTACCTCGGAGCGATGCTGCTGCTGGACGAACGGCAAGACGTGCACGTTCTGCTGACCAACTGTTTGAAAAAGTTTGTGTTTTGATAATCAATCCCTCATATAAGAATTCAGACTACTTTAGCGGCTCATTACAGTGACCTCAACAGTTCAACGCAGTTCATCGTGGGGACGGCTCTGTGTACCCTGGCAGCGATCGCCTCGCCGGAGATGGGTCGTGATCTGTCGCACGAGATCGAACGACTGATCGCTTCCTCGAACGCATTTCTTCGCAAGAAAGCAATCCTCTGTGCCTTTCGCATGGTCCGCCGAGTGCCTGAACTGATGGAGGATTATGTACCCAAGTGCTTACACCTTTTAAACGAGAAAAACCATGGAATCCTCGTATCGACAATCACATTGGTAACGGAGATGTGCGAACAGAGCCCTGTGGTGTTGAACTACTTCAAATCGTCCATCCCTACCTTGGTTCGCACGCTCAAAACACTAATCGTAAGTGGATATTCACCGGAACACGTCGTCAATGGAGTCAGCGATCCGTTCCTGCAGGTGAAGCTCCTTCGGCTGTTGAGGATCCTGGGGCACGGTGACCCAGATCAGTCGGAGATCATGAACGATGTATTGGCTCAGGTTGCTACCAATACGGAGACGAACAAGAACGCAGGGAATGCCATTCTGTACGAAACGGTACTGACAATCATGAATGTTGAGTGAGTATAGCGGATAGTTTTGATTCCAAACTACATTTAGATGATCGTGTTTTACCCCTCTAGGTCCGAAAACAGCCTCCGCGTCCTGGCCATCAACATCCTGGGTCGATTTCTGCTCAACAGCGACAAGAGCATCCGCTACGTGGGACTACTAACGCTTGTCCGAACCGTTCAACGGGACATGACGGCCGTCCAGCGGCATCGTATCACAATCCTTGAGTGCCTTTCCGATTCGGACAGTTCGATACAGAAGTGTGCGATGGAACTGTCCTTCACGCTAGTCAACGCACAGAACATTGAAACCATCGTACGGGAATTGCTCAAATATCTGGAAACAGCTGACGCGGAGATGAAGGGAGCCTGCGGCAGTAGAATCGTGCTGGCAGCGGAGATGTACTCCCCTTCGATCCGTTGGCATCTGGATTTGCTGCTGAAGGTGTTGAAGATTGTGAGTATTGCTCAGATTAAGAAGCAAACTTGCTCAAGAACACTCCCGCTTTTTGTTTACAGTCCGGCAACAACATCCGGGACGACGTGATAGCCTCTACGATTCAGCTGATTTCCAACAGCCCCACGGAGGAGCAGAGTTTCATCAGTGGTAAAATGTGGCAATCTATCACCAACATGAACCAACTGGAGAATCGGCAACCGCTCGTGCAAGTCGCCGTGTGGACACTCGGAGAGTACGGCGAGGCTGGCAATTTCGACGGTAATTCGATCGAATAAAACGACAACATCCCGTTTCTAATTGGCTCGTGTTTGAAATTGCAGAAAACGAACTAATTGACCACTACCGCCAGCTTCTGTGGGCCCCTCAGCTATCGATCACGACCAAGCAGTACATTCTGATGTCGCTTGCGAAAATCAGCGTCCGCATGGAACACTGCACGGCGTAAGTATATATTCCCCCATCCAGCGACTAACTCGATTCGAGGCACCTTGAGCGTTTACGTGCAGCCCGAATTAAAAACCCCTTATCTTCCCGCCTGACAAGGCATGACCTCAAACCCTATTTTCAGCGCGCGCGTCGCGCTATTTAACTAAATTCAGTGTTATCGCAAAAAACAAACATCGTCACCTAACTCGCGCTTTTCACTCTCTGGGTAGGTATTTCCGGTTCACTTGCCTAAACTGCTTCTGTTGTCTTGTTGTGTCGTTCGAGTGCGCTGTTCGCCATCGGCAGCGCTGGATGCAAACGGGCGACCCAATAATAGCACCAGTAGGTAGGTAGTAGGCGACGAACGAACCGAGCGCCAGCCCAACGGAACGAACCCAGAGCAGGCGGGAAATGCGGTTTTTGTGGGGTTTATTTTCTTATCTCTTGCGCTCTCTCGGTGCGATGCGATGCGATGGTTGGCATGCTTTGTTGCTGCAGTTGTTATCTTTGAAATTCGTTGTAGTTGTGATGAAAGTAGGTATCTGCATGGTACACGGATCACTTTCGTTTGTTTGGACAGCGCTTCAGTTACGATGATAGTGTTTCCGTTCCACTGACGATGGTGGAAGTGGCTGAGTAAGATTAAATAGCAAGGTTTGTAATATCAAAGCCGATTATGGCACAGCGAACCATGCAGATGCAGTTTCAAATGTAGCACGCCTTTGTCAAAATGAGTTTTTTTTTGGCACATGAACACATTTTAGATCATTCGTGACTTGTCCGGGATTGAATTTGAACTTCTGACGTTTATCGCGATAGGGGCATGGACGCTAACCACTTCACTATGTCCGTGCTCTTGTCTAAATTTCGCGTCACTTTTCAAATGGCCAATAGACTAATGTAACCTATCCGCTATTTTGAAAAAATCTAAATTGAAGTTCGACAGAATATTATTTCAAATGGTTTATAAACAATACATTCTGCAATACTATTTTTAATATAGTCAGTGAATAATAGCATTGAAAATTCAGTAGAAACGGTAAAATCACAATTTTACTTTGAATTTCATGTCACAATATAGAAAAACCATATAGGACGTTTTGACTAGTCGATTTGTACATCGGACATGTTACATTGGACGTTTTTTGTTCTAGATGATACTAAATTCCCTTTCACAGATTTCAGAATAAAGTACCTGGCCTAATCATACCCCGCCTTTAGAAAATGAGCACCAATCATGTTAGGCAGTCCATATGTCCGAAGTAACAATCACGTACCCATCATTTCAAACTGTACTTTGGACAGTTTTTGACCTATGATTATCTTAAATAAATGACAGTAAATTTGGATGGGTGTTTTTGTATCACATACAATGATAGAAGAACAATAGTTTGTATCGATTAACTCGATCTGTTAACATTTGTTACTTAGGACCTTTTGAAAAGCTACGCGGGAAATGTCCCATCATTGTTACATATGTACCTATTACCTATTGTCAAATTTGATAGACATTCAACTTTTTGCTCGTGAAGTACCATGCGTCTGCAGATTACCCATCTAAGAATCCAAAGTTCATATTAATATGTAGGGGAAAGTGATTAAGTTTGGTCATCATCATCAGACTTCCCAGATCAGATGGTTTTGTGGATTGCATGGGCGTTCTTTGAATTCCTATAAGTCATAGAGAGAAGTCATTGTTTACAAAAGCTGTTACGCCCTAATTTCAGCTCTATCTAGAATTGATGACATTTTGCGTTCACTTGCGCATTTTTTAGAAAATTCATTCAGAAAATCAGGTATTTTTTTTCAATTTCATGTGCTATTTATTTTTCATTGCTCAATCCCAGGTAATGAGAAGGCAGACTCTCTGGCAAAGGTGGGCGCACAACAAGGCGAGATTTATGATAGAAGAATTTCACATGATGATTTTTTCCTATTAGTACGTCAGAGTTCTCTTTTAAGTTGGCAAAACGATTGGACAAGTAATTCTCTTGGGCGGTGGTTACATTCCATTATTCCAAATGTTTCTTCGAGAGCGTGGTTCAAAGGTCGGGATGTAAGTCGGGGCTTCATTCGTGTGATGTCAAGACTTATGTCCAACCACTACTCGCTAGACGCATATCTCTACAGAATAGACGTCGCTGACTGCAATATAGGTAGGTGCAGTACCGGTTATGCAGTTTGGCATTGCCCGGGTAATGATGCCTCCAAAGCACGTCTATTGGATGCCCTAGTGGCCCGAGGTAGTCAACCCTTCCGTGAAGTAAGAGATGTATTGGGAACCCGTGATCTTCCCTACATGCAGGCGATCTACGAATTCCTTTGTTTGTCAGGTGTTAGAGCAGTTAGAGTTTGATATGACCATCCCCTCCTTTCCAAACAATTTCCAGCTATTGTGTCCCAGTTTTATCACCGGTTGGAAACTAACGATTTAAAATTGGATCACCACTTGACTAGCCTATTGTGATATTATTCAACGGAAGACCTTCGCGGATCGAAATAAAAGACTAGAAGTACTAAGAGAGAACGATTTCAAAAACGCGTGTTTATTCATGGAACTTTGTTCGTACAGTAATACGTAGGTAAAATGAAAAACGGAAATAGTCTGACAGCAGTAGCGTCGACAAATGGGGCACACAGGGTTGTGCAATGGATTGAGCATAGGCGTAGGGTTTGCATACTTAACACGCCCGCTCAAACTCTGCTACTGGTCAATCCCAGGTACTCACGGAACTTCCTGAAAGCAGGGCCTGGCAGACTCTTCGTCAGTATGTCTGCTTGCTGCTTCAACGTAGGGATATACTCGATGCGTATCTGGTTGCTCCCCAACAGTTCTCGGACGAAAAAATGCTTCACGTCCAAGTGCATCAGCCGCCCAGAATCCTTCGGGTTAGCGGCAATCTTCATTGTGGACTGGTTGTCCTCATGGTAGGTGATTGGGGCCACGGGCTTAGACCCGAGATCTTCCAGAATCCTGACCAACCACTGACCATGGCAGGTGGCCGCGCATAGTGCGATTAGCTCGGCCTCCGTAGAAGAGAGAGATACGGTAGCTTGCTTTTTCGCACTCCAGCTCACGGTAGCACCATACACCTTGAACACTGCACCCGAAACGGACCGACGATCGGTGATTTCATTCGCCCAGTCGGCATCGGAATATGCTTCGAGCAATGGGCCAGCATCGTCTCCTCGGTAGACTAGCCCAAAATCCAGCGTTCCTTTTATGTAACGTAATACACGGCGCAAGTGGGTCCAGTGGATCTCGTTGGGGCAAACCTGAAACTGGCTAAAATAATTTGCAGCAACAGCCAGATCCGGGCGGGACGTCAGTGACACGTACATAACGCATCCAACTAACTCACGATATGGCTTGCTCGTCCGCTGTGACTCCTCGCCTCTTGGTAGTTTAAGCTGGTTCTCTATCGGCGTAGCGATCGACCGGCAGTCCTGCATCTGGAACCGATCCAAAAGATGTTCCAAATAGCGTCGCTGGCTGATCTGAAGGGTTTTCTGCTCCATATGCCGGTCGATTCGCATTCCTAGGAAATTCTTCACAACGCCGACGTCCGTCATTTCGAATTCGGTGGCGAGACATTTCTTGATCGTATCGACTAGCTTCGCAGAAACGCTGACGATGATAACGTCGTCCACATAGATGACCAGGATAACTTGGGTATCTCCTGATCCCCGACAGTACAGGCACATGTCGTTGCGGCTTCTCACAAATCCCAGGCGAACGACGAAGCTGTGGAACCGTTCGTTCCACGACCTAGCCACCTGTTTTAGGCCGTATAGTGACCTATTCAAGCGACAAACGAGACCGTCGTGATGATCGAAACCCTACGGCTGACGCATATATATTTCCTCGTTTAGCGCTCCGTTGAGGAAAGCGGTTTTCACGTCCATTTGGTGAACGATCCAACAAATGCGATTTGCCAGTGCCAACACCGTGCGAAGTGTGTCCATCCGTGCCACAGGTGCGTACGTTTCGGAATAATCAAACCCCAGCTTCTGGGTAAAACCCCTAGCGACCAAGCGCGCCTTGTATCTCGGTGCTTGGCCATCTTCGGAATCCTTCAGTTTGAAGACCCATTTGCTCGTTATGGCACTTCGTACTTGGGGCAGCTTTACTAAGGTCCATGTCTCGTTCCTCGCCAACGAATCCATCTCCTCCTGTAATGCCTGCTCCCATGAAGGCCAATCTTCCCTTTTCCGACACTCTGACACTGTTTCAGGCAAATCTTCTACATACGACATCGCATTCAGCGCGAACCCGGCGTAGTCCACTTCAAAGTCTTTGTGCCACGACGGAGCACTTCGATTTCTGACCGGACGCACACTTCCGTTACTTTCATCGGCCGGGGCTTGTTCTTCATCAACGAAACTCGTGAACTGTTCATCGTCTTGATCACCATCGTCACTTATGTCTTCGTTCACCGAATCGTAGGCATTGGAACCTCACGACGCACCCCGGTTATCGTCACTTCTTTCATCTTCTGTGTCATTTTCAAGTTCACCGACACGAATCACTGGAACACCACCTTCTTTCTTCGCGTTCTCTTCTTCGAACGTCTGCTGCTCCAGAAAGTCCACGTCACGAGCGACCACGACCGAATTTTCTTTGGGATTCCACACCAAATATTCTTTCGCCGCGTATCCAACAAAAATTCCCTTCCACGCCTTTGGATCAAGTTTCCAGCGGCGCTCCTGAGGGACATGTACGTAGACTGCACATCCGAAGCTCCGAAGTCTGAAAACATCCGGCCGTTTGCCTTCCCAGAATTCAGAAGGTGTCTTGTTCGAATCGATTGTACACGTCAGCGATCTGTTTATGACATATGCAGCGGTGCGGACCGCCTGAACCCAAAACGATTTGTCGAGTTTTGCACCCTCCAGCATCGCACGAGCCCTTTCGATAACAGTGCGATTCATACGTTTACTCGGCCCGTTAAGCTCCAGGGTGTACGGCACCGTCCACTGAATCTCAATCCCCTTCTTCCGGCAAAACGATTCGA